TTTTTAATCAATAATTTTATTTGTTCTTATATTCTAGATCTTATGTTCATGGCTGAAACATGGCTTGACCAAAATACAGAAAATGCAGTTTTAATAGAAGCATCACCACTAAATTTCAAATTTGTATCTGAAATACGGGGAAACAAAACAGGAGGAGGCTTAGCTGCCATTTTCAGAGACCACTTTGTCTCCCATAGAATGCCTCTTGGGAAGTTTCCGTCTTTTGAATATGTGTCTTTTAAAATACAACAAAAACAATCTCCTCCAATACTTTTTGTTGTCCTATACAAGCCACCGCAGTCATGTCATAGTTTTATTGATAATTTTACACAGTTGCTTTTCAGTTGTATGCACATGCATATTTTGATAGCTTAGTTATTACAGGGGATTTTAATATTCATGTGGATAATGTTAATGACAGAAATGCAAAAGAGCTGAGTTCTGTTTTTGAATCTTTTTGGTCTCACTCAGCACGTGAGTGGCCCCACCCACAGCAGAGGGCACACTCTAGACCTGTTAGTTGCAAAGGGGGTGAACATTTCTAATGTAAACGTGGTCGATGTTGCGCTTTCGGATCATTTCTGTGTATTTTTTGACATGTGTTTCACTAACAAACCACCAGTGGACTCTGCAACTGTACGAAGAAGACACATAAATGAAAATACGGGTGAATTATTTATGGGAATGATAAACTTTGAGAATGCATCGTATTCTACTGTGGCGGCACGGTGGCTGAGTGGATAGCACTCAGCCTCTCAGCAAGAAGTTCCTGGGTTCGAATCCCGGTCGGACCAGGGCCTTTCTGAGTGGAGTTTGCATGTTCTCCCCCTGTCTGCCTAGGTTTCCTCCGGGTGCTCCGGTTTCCCCTACCACTAAAAACATGCACAATAGGCCTGGCATGCGCCTCCTGTTCGGCGACCCCACTTCCATCTCTGTGTGGAGTGAGCGACAAATGCCCAAAAATAATAACAATTGTAAACCGCTTTGTGACTCTGGTCTGTGAAAGGCGGTATATAAATAAACATTACTTACTTACTTACTTACTTACTGTAGATGAACTGTTTAACTCTGTCACCTCTAGTTTTTTGAATGTTCTGGACACCATCGCTCTTGTGAAGGTTAAAAAGGTTTGTGAAAAATAAGCAGAAGGCGCCGTGGGCTAAAGCAGACTCGGTCAGGGCACAAAAGAGAGAGTGCCGGAGGGCCGAGCGGAAGTGGCGCAAGTCCAACCTCCAGGTTGATTATGAGATCTTCAAAGATAAGTTGTGCGAGTTTAACCGGGTGCTACGTAGTACGAGAGAAAGGTATTTTTCTGAAATGATTGAAGGCTGCAGCAACAATCTGCGTGTTCTGTTTTCAACAGTTAATAGATTAACGAACCCCCCTGTTCAGATGCCATTAGAGCTTACTTCCAAACGTAAATGCAATGAGTTTGCACATTCTTTCAATGACAAGGTTCAAGGCATCAAAAACGCTATTTTCTCCAATCCACAGATAACAATCCAACAACCAGAAAGGCTCTTTGAGCAAACTTACTTTGCACCTGTAAATGATCAAACTGTCCAAGAGATAATCTCCAGTTTGAGCTCCTCCACATACAGCCTGGATGTACTACCCACTAGATTTCTAAAGTCTGTTCTGAGCAGTCTGCTACCTTCACTCACACAGATAGTAAACATGTCCTTTAATTCTGGAATATTCCCAAAGGCCCTGAAAACTGCAGTCATCAGGCCCCTGCTAAAAAAGAGCAGACTGGATGCTACGGTACTTAACAACTATCGTCCCATCTCAAATCTGCCATTTATGGGGAAAGTCCTTGAAAAAGTTGTCTACCAACAGCTAAATAGATTTCTTACTGTATAATCAACAACTCATTTGATATGTTTCAGTCCGGCTTTAGACCCCACCACAGCACTGAGACTGCTCTCGTCAAGGTAACAGACGATATCCGGCTGAACACTGACGCAGGCAAAGTCTCAATCCTAATCCTGTTAGATCTGAGTGCTGCCTTTGACACTGTCGACCATGAGATCCTCTTACAGAGACTAGAGGACTGGGTTGGCGTCGCTGGCACCGCCCTAAGTTGGTTTAGGTCTTACCTTAAAGACAGGAAGTACTTTGTGGAGATTGGAAACTGTGTCTCAGATCATATGGCCCTGACCTGTGGAGTACCACAGGGGTCGATCCTGGGACCTCTTCTGTTCAATCTCTACATGCTGCCGTTAGGTCAGTTAATACGCAGAAACGAAGTGTCCTATCATAACTATGCAGACGACACTCAGATCTATGTCTCACTGACTGCAGGAGAACATGGACCAGTGGACTCACTCCTTCACTGTATCCAACAGATCAGTGAGTGGATGCAAAACAACTTCCTTCAGCTAAACGCAGACAAAACTGAAATGATTGTCTTTGGTCCCCAGAAACAAAGAGAGAGCGTCATCTGTCATCTACAGTCTCTCTCCCTAAAACCTTCAAACAAGGTCAGAAATCTAGGGGTAATACTGGACTCAGACTTAAATTTTAATAGCCACATAAAATCAGTAACATCAGCAGCTTTCTACCATCTAAAAAACATTGCCAGGATCAAAAACATAGTGTCTAAAGCAGACTTGGAGATTCTTATCCATGCATTTGTCTCCAGTAGGTTAGACTACTGCAATGGCCTGCTCACAGGTCTGTCCAAACAGGCTGTAAAACAGCTGCAGTACATTCAAAATGCAGCAGCTCGAGTCCTGACTAGAACCAGGAAGTACGACCATATTAGTCCGGTCCTCAAGTCTCTGCACTGGCTTCCTGTGGCTCAGAGAATAGACTTTAAAACGGCTCTGCTTGTTTATAAGTCTCTTCATGGCCTCGCACCAAAATATATTAGTGACATGTTAGTACCATATGAACCAGCCCGAACTCTGAGGAGCACAGGGACTGGACTCCTGTTAGTGCCCAGAGTCAGAACTAAACATGGGGAGGCTGCTTTTCAGATTCATGCTGCTAAAATCTGGAACAGTCTTCCTGAAGATGTGAGACAGGCCTCCTCAATGACAATGTTTAAAACCAGGTTAAAGACAGTTCTGTTTAGCTGTGCATACAACTGAGGGATTTTATATCTTTATCTTTCTTTTTAATGTCTTCTTGTTTTGTTCAGCACTTTGAATTGCCTTGTGTATGAATTGTGCTATACAAATAAACTTGCCTTGCCTTGCCTTGCTCTAGTCCAAAGTAAAATGCTAAATGCGTCATTAGCATTTTTTAAAAAGTTAGCATTCTTCCGATGGATTTTCACCTGATCCGCTCTGTTTGGACCATGAATCCTCTCAAAACAAGACTTAAGACGAGACTCAAGACGAGACTTAAGACGAAACTTAAGACGAGACTTAAGACGAGACTTAAAAACAGGAAGTGAATCAGACAGTCTAACACACAGGGGCAGCTCATTCTATAATTTAATAACCGAAAAAGCTCGATCTCCTCTGAGTTTTCATTCAGTCGGAGGAACCCAGACCAGAGCCTGATCTGCCGACCTGAGAGAACGTGATGGAGCGTATGTCTGTAGGTAGGACAGAAACCGCGGAGAAAATGTTTGCACATTTATTTCTTTTGCACAATCTTAAGTGTTTCTATCCATGCCAGATGTGACATGTAAATTTCTCGTGTGTGAGATCAAAAAAGTCTATCTTATCTTATCTTATCTTAGGCCATTCAGGCATTTGTAGACAAACAAACAGACTTTCAAATCAATCCGGTAGCAAACAGGAAGCCGATGAAAGGATGACAGGACCGGAGAGATATGCTCATACTTCCGAGTTCCTGTTAACAGACGCGCCGCAGCATTCTGTACCAGCTGCAGACGAGCAAGTGAGGACTGGCTGATACTTGGGTACAAGGCGTTACAATAGTCCAGCCGAGTCGTAACAAAAGCGTGAATCAAAATTTCAAAATTTTGCCTTGAAAGGGAGGACTTTATTTTAGCAAGTTGCCTTAAATGGAAGAAACTGGATTTCCCACTGCACTTATTTGTTCATCAAATTTACAATCAGCATCCATTTTCACTCCAAGGTTTGAAACTACGTATGGGCTTAACAAATTGTGTTAGAGGTCCCAGGTCCACAGGGCTACTGCTGCCATTGCTGGACCCAACCAGCAGAACTTCACTCTCTTTTTCATTGAAATTTAAAAAGTTTGCTGCCATCCACATTTTGATTTCAGATATGCGCTTCAGAAGTTGGGTGCTGCAAAAGTTATTGTCATGCTTAAGGGGCACACACTGTAGATTTGGCTGTCATCTGCGTACAGGTGGAATGACACCCCAAACCTCCAAAGGTTAGCTCCTAATGGCAACAGATACAATGAAAACAGGAGTGCCCCACGTATGGACCCTTTGCAGCACCCCACATGACTGGGGGCTATGGAGGAAACAACTCTCACACAGAAAATGTAAGACCAAGATCACCTTTCTATAAAGAAGATTTCAGATTCTATGACCAAAGAGATAGGAGAACTGTTATGGAGTTCCCTTCCATATGAGATTAGGCAGGTTTCTTGAATCTTCAAACATAAAAGTTTAGACTTTGCTTAAGCATTGCTTTATTATATCATGTGACTTCAATGACCAGTGAGTAATATTAAGGCCCCAAAAGTGTACAATAAAAGAATCAATTTACCGAATGGAAGAATTCATTAAGGACAACGAACAAATGAGGCATATTCTGAATATAGGTACAAACAGGACTCTGATCAGTTAACAAGATAAAGATTAAGAGATCTGGATGGGAAGCAATTCTCTAAGAGATCCTTAATTCGTCCCACAGTGGGGAACAGTGTTGCATCACAAGTTATAGAACAGTAGGAAAGAGGAGCACACAGCACAAGATATGTGAACAATAGCTATAACATAAACAAAATCTCTAACTCTACAATCAATAATATGTCCCTCAAGACCACATGCGGCACATTTACCATGTTTCACAGGACCTGCGTCAGTCTGATCTGAGAGGAAATGGTCAGCCTGATAGATCTGAGAGGACATGGTCAGTCTGATAGATCTGAGAGGACATGGTCAGTCTGATCTGAGAGGACATGGTCAGTCTGATCTGAGAGGACATGGTCAGTCTGATCTGAGAGGACATGGTCAGTCTGATCTGAGAGGACATGGTCAGTCTGATCTGAGAGGGCATGGTCAGTCTGATAGATCTGAGAGGACATGGTCAGTCTGATAGATCTGAGAGGACGTGGTCAGTCTGATCTGAGGGGACATGGTCAGTCTGATAGATCTGAGAGGACATGGTCAGTCTGATAGATCTGAGAGGACGTGGTCAGTCTGATCTGAGGGGACATGGTCAGTCTGAATATATTGTTATTTTTTCTTTCCCATAAGCCACAGAAAGTTTCTGGTTGCACCTGTTTCCAAAGCAAAACCTTCTCATAGCATATGTTTATATGCTCTGCTAAGGCTTTTAAGGATCCTGCAAACTGCAGAATGATAACGAGTGAGATGTATAGATTACATCCTCCTGTTTTTGTCATATTCAAAACCTTACAAAATAAGTTGTTCCACAAGAGGACATCAAATATCGCTGTGGGAAAATGCATGCACAGCATCACATCAAATCTGTGGAGGGATGAGTTGAGAACGCAAAAGGGGTTTCTATATGTAACCCTCCAAAACCAAAAACATGTAATTGAAAATAGAAAAGTCAATTATTTTTACAAGGAGAGTAACACATGCTGCCAAAGTCACCTCCATCATGGACAATACCTCCCACCCACTGCACAGGACTGTAGAGGAGCTGAGGAGTTCCTTCAGTGGAAGACTGAGGCACCCTCAGTGCAAGAATGAGCGCTACCACAGGGCCTTTATCCCCACCGCTGTCAGACTGTACAATAAGTCACTTTAAGTCACTGCACTATGACTGAAAAAACCTGCACTACTGAAGAAGATGACAAAGTCTGGGATCGCGTCTTTAATTCAGACAGAAGACTGTTTTATTGTCGATGGTAGAGACAGCACGAACAACACGAACAACAGAATGCAAGTGTATTATACAGAGCGGAGGCATGGAGACCTCCAATCAGCAGCTTCCACGGTGCCATGTAGCTTGGCCTTCAGATAGACAAAACAAGGGAAAAGTACTGGCTTCAGCACATTGATAGAATGATCAGTTTAACTTTAACAAAAGTTGCATAAAAGTGTCATGAAATCTCACACTACTATTGACACTTCTTTCTTATTGCCACTTTCTAATTGCCCCTTTTTGTACATATTCTGTCCTGCATCCACATGTTTGCACATTTCTTACTTTTTCACAATCTTGAGTGTTTCTATCCATGTCAAATGTGACATGTAAATTTCTCCTGTGTGAGATTAATAAAGTATATCTTATCTTGTTGAATGAAACACTCACTTTTTCAACATTGTAATCAGTTTCTTCTCTGAATGGTATTTTCTTCATCGGAACTGCAGTGCATTGAGTTATGGTTGTCTGTAATGTTCTGGATGGGAAGCAATTCTCTAATCTGCCGTATTTTCATCAAGTTTTCATCCATTTTTATTGATAAATATTAACATTTATGGGCATTGATCCTCCTGTTCGCTGTGGACAAATGGCTTCTTTGTGTTTGCAAATATTGCATTTCCGGCAAATCGACAGCTTTGTAAAGCCCTCAGTGATAACTGCTGTTGTTATTTAAGGCTATACAAAAATAATTTGAATTGAAATTGAAGTGAATCCAGTCTCACTGTTGTTTTCTGTACTTTACCGTACATATCTCGCCTCTCTGCGGCTTTAGGCAACAGGTAGCCGCTATGGACATACTGTATACTATTCTTTCCAGTTACAACCAGGCCAGCTGCACCCTATGCATTTGACCTCTATGTTTTGCCAACCTATTGAACATATACAAGAATACACTTCTGGAAATGTAAAAGTAAGGATGTGTCACTCTTATTTCTGGAAAAATCCAAAATATTAAGATAACTCCAAACTCACAAAAATGTTAAAGATATTGACAAAGAAATATTGACATGGGTTCTGCCTTCAGATTTTCATCCTTAATACTCATCCCTAAATCTAATTTTCATTGAAATGTTCCTCAGCTGTGAAGGAGAAATTGTTACGACTCAGATACATCCTCCTTTAAGATACACCTAGGCAGAGTTTTGACTAGTAACATACCTCAATCTTTTTATACTTGCTTTTCACAAGGTCACAATTTATGCCACAATGGTCAATAATAATCAATTGAAACCTAGGAAGGATGAGGAAGGGGAGTATTTTTTTGTGAATTCGGCTGCAGCCACGGTTTCTTTTTAATAGATTATTTGCAAGGAGCTTAAGGGGTTAACAGACTTTGGACAACTCCCTCCAGCCGAGCCTGAGTCGCTGCTTTAACACAGACATACTGGGCTATATGAAAGCAGTGAAGGTCACATCAGAACAGATGGGGCTGGTCTGCCACTGCCTGAACGCAGTGGCCCATTGTCTGACCTTCATCCAACTGCTCAATAACATGCATTAATATTACACTATACTCAGAGATGCTGTTTGCAATTTCAGATCCACTATGAACAAAGCGTTTAACACACGTGCAGTATGTTCGTTAGATGTTCATGTGTTGTTTGAATGAAATCATTACATTTCACAGTATTCTTCATGATTGAAAATAAGTTAATTCTAAATAAATAGTTTGTTTAGTGCAATAAAGCCATAAGATATTGATTTACATGCATCTAATGTTATGTATTTGTGTTATTTTTCAGGGAGCTGCAACAAGTCCTGTGTCAATGCCAAATCAAAGTGTCATAAATAACAAATATATGAGAAAGTAAATATATAGAAACAAGAAAAGCAAAGGCAAGTTCATTTGTATAGTACAGTTTAAATGCATTATAATCATGACCAATCTTAATACATTCAAACGGGCGAAACATAAAATCCTTCAGTTGTATGCGCAGCTAAAATAAAACTGTTTTAAACCTGGGTTTGAACATTGTCAGAGTAGAGGCCTGTCTCACATTTTCAGGAAGACGTTCCAGATTTGTACTTGCATAAATCTGAAACGTTGAAACACATTATAATAAATATCTAACAATGACATTTATAATGTGAATTTAAACTTTTAAAAAGGGCACAAAGAAATGCCCAGCCTAAATATACATTTATGAAGCGTAGTTAGTGATAGATTGTTATTCATAATAACAGGAAAACCAAAGAACTCAGGCTGATCTCACTTCTGATGTGAGGAGAAGCACGGGCCACACAGGAAGTACATCCAGTTTCAAACTAAAATGACCCCCTACGTTCAGTAACACAATTCTAATTGAACAAAATGTAACACCTGTAAATATGTAATATATGGGGATACCAGAGTTCCTTGTGTTACGACACGTTTTTGTGTTTTAAACTGCTTTATGTGGCGCTTATATTTTATTTTGACAGAGTTCCCGGATGTTACCTTTTACTACTGCTGCTAACTTGGCTCATTCAGTTTTGTTGCGTTTCTTCCTGAACTTTTGCCATACTTGCCCGCATTTCTGTGGCTAAAATAAAGACATAAAACGCAATGGGGGCGTGTTTGGCTCTGCCCTGTTCCATAGCCAGCTGTGTGAGTATTTTTTAGGTTTTTAAAAGTATGTTTGTTTCTGTTTACTCTCATTCGTTTGTACGCGTGAAATCTTTTCGACTAAAGACTGCGCTATAACATCACGTGAATCTTCTGAGGAAAACTCTAAAAATAAATGTTTTCCTTCATGTGGCCTTTATGGTTAATTATTTTCATATAATGTTTGAGTTGAGCTGCAGTCTGGTTTGTAACAAGGCGTGTAGATTCAATGTAGCGAAAAGTTGTTATTTCCGGGTTTTGTCTTCAGAGGCCTCACGTTTACGTCGGTAAAGGTAGTCTTTTTTTTTTCCTCTATGATGCAACTGTATGTCAGGCACATTTTGTAAACATTCTCTATTTAGCATGATAAAGACGAGGCATGTCCAAACTAAGGCCTGCGAGCCAAATGCGGCCGTCTGTGTCATTGTGTGTGGCCCTCTGTCTTATCAATATAAACTAGTCATTGAGGCATTTTCACAGTGTCACCCAGCCAACTTCAGCTTGTTGTAAAGCTTTGAACCCTTGGAATTCAGCCATTAACTTTCTCTGTGTATACTGACTTTTGGTTATCACAATGCATCAAAAATATCAAGTAAAAAGTTTTAATGTTAAATTAGATATGTTAATGTGATGTTGTATTGTCAAAGCCAAAGGATGAAAACAAACTTTCTAATCAAACAGGAGGAGCCACCACATCGGTACAAGTTTTATGCTTTTCATTGGCAAATTGTTTTTACAGGTTAATTTTTCCATTTTATACATTATCAAATAATACAACTTTCTCACCATTGTTATCTTTTCTTACAGCAATTATTTGTAGTGGCCATTCTTCCAAGGAGAAGGAGTACATTAAGATTTAATTTACATATTTATACAGAACCAGATGGTCAAAATGCATTAATTATAAAACAAACAAAATACATTTGAAGGAATAAAAGCCAAGTTAATCAATTATCCAGACTGTTATAGCTCTATTACAGAGCAAACAATGCGTTGTATGAAAACACAGCAACAGAATTCTTTCCCCTAACTCTTTTCCCCCTAATTCTTTCATAATTAACTTTTAATTATCCACCAGCAACATCCTTGTGTGGATGACGCATCACTGAGTACGTTTCTGACTCTGTTATATATGTTATTTTTTTGAGTTTGCCCTTCAACATCCTCGTGACAGGCTTCATCTTCACATTCTTTCTGATTTTATTCAATCACAATGACTTTAGTAATGCTTTATAGTTATGACGCAAAAAATACATTTTTGAAATCCAGCTTGCATTCTTTGTAAAACTCCCTTTCTTGTAAGTTGTAAGCGCTCAGTCGTACAGGGACTAGTCAAAGCAAAGGAAGGTTTCTCATCCATCATCTGTACTTCGTAGCAGGTTTTCCCAGAAGTACAGATGATGGGTGAGAAACCTTCCTTTGCTATGGTCTTGTAAAACAACACTCACGGTAAGATGGAAGAGCAAAACACAGTGTTGTTTCTGAATCTATTGTTTATGGGTATGGATAATTTAAGTTAAGATTGAGACATACAGTAAGATATAAGCACATCTGTTCAGTTTGTTATGCACATGAAGACATAGTTGTGATTTAGAGTTAGAAGCTTCATACTCTGCATGTAGACAACATCACACTTCAAGATTTCACTCTCTAAAGCCTAGCGTACATCGACAGAGAAACTGGGGACAACTAGTTGCAAGGCGGCTTTTGGCAACTGAGAGGAGATGGTGGGAGATGATCAGTTGCCGAAATCGGTCGATGTGCGCGCTCTTACAACTGGAGATGATCAGTCGGTCTCCAGTTTCAGTCAGTTGCCCGTGTTCTACTTTTCGGCAACTAGTTGTCCTCAGTTTCGGAGATATGACCCGATGTGCGCGCTCCATGCGCCGCTCCGACAACGTGTGTGTATTGCGTGTATTGCGAGCCCGCAACAGTTTATGTCAGAAAACACACTGTAGTTGAGGCCAGTTGCTGTCGATGTACGCGCTGTTATTCCTGAGACTGGTCTGCGACTGGGAGTTGCCCGTTTTCGTCAGATTGTTGATGTGTGCGGGGCAGCAACTCATATGTGACGGGTATAATCAGTTGCCAGTCCGATGTACGCTAGGCTTAATGGAAGCAGGTGTACAAGGAGATGTGTATTTAAAACAAGAAAGGTAAAACATGTGATTAGAAAAAGGCCTGTGAGCAGAGTATGTGCTACGTCAAAAGACTGATCAACTTTACGGCAAGTTGAATGAGTCTATGGCCCCGTTTATATGGAGGCGCTTCGCAGACGTTGCAAAGCAATTGACAGAAACGAACAGACTCCTGCGCAGGAGTCTGGTAGAACAAGGCAGTTCTAGCAGCCGACCAGTAGTGGGCAGTGGAACTTTACAATATGACACATGCAACCCCCAGCCCCTCCAGCAGTATATTAACCTCTTCGACAACATCCTTCTCTGGCCACTGTAAATACATGAACGAATGCACCAACATCATTCTACATTTAACAGCAGCTGCAAAAATGGAAGCTAAAACTACAGCTTTGCGTGGTTTCGTTTTGGACAAATGTTGGAGTAGAATTCTCCGTGTAACGCTCGAAGCACACGTAGCTAGTTAGTGCACCCGCTGCCATTGTTGTTTACATTTGTTAATGGCTACTGCGCATGTCCGAATGTTCGTGCGGGGAAGTGGGGGTCGTAGCGGGCAGAGAATTAACACCTTTTTCCTTCACGTGGGTGTAAACAGCATGTAAACGGAGGGCAAACCGATACCTAACTCAAAAAACCTCCGCTATAACAACATCATGTGAATCTTCTGAGGAAAACTCTAATAATATATGTTTTCTTTGATATGGCTTTTATATTCAATGATTTTCATAATGTTTACATAGTTGGTAACGAGGCGTGTAGATTCTAATTTCAAAGTAGCTTAAAGTTGTTATATCCTGGTTTTGTCTTCAGAAGCCTCACCTAGTAACTGCGGTAGTCTAATGTTAGCATTAATCTATATATTTTTTTAACAGCAACACTTTAGCCACTGTTCACAATGAAGCAAGTGAATTTGAGTCATGTTTTGTAAAGGTTCCGACGTGAGAGAACATGGCTAATGCTCACTGGGCTAACGGCAGCATTAGGCACATGAGCGCTCAATGTAATATTTAGCATAATATAGACCAGGCATGTCCAAACTAAGGCTTTGGATATGCATCTCTGACACCAAGGAGACCGATGATCTTCTGCGTAAAAGCTAAAACAATTTAAGGGGTTAAAAAATCTCTGAGTAGCTGTTTGTTGTTTTGCACCAAATTTTCAATTTAAATGAATGATTAGCACCACACCTTTGTAAAAACAATGCAATATTTTTGATCAACATTGTGAGTGTGATATAATTTTTGATAACCTGTATGTTTAAAAAGGTCACTTTGTCCCACTTCACTAGAGTTCTATTTGAACAACCGTATAAGAAGCGATTTTTCTCATACTCGATTTCCAAACTTTTCTGAAAGTTATGTATTTCTATTCTTCAGTAAAAAAAAAAAAATCCTAATACATTAATCTTTTATAACAAAATTCTTGTATTAGACCTGAGTTGTGCGCACTTTAATGATAATATTTCCTGGCCTTGTCTTTCCTTCTCCAGGCTTCATGTCTGTGTGGCTCTGCTCCCTGCCTCCTGTCGTCATGCTGCCCCTCCACCTACAACTCCACCATGAGCCGCCTGGCCTTCTCCTTCCTGCTGCTGCTGGGGACCCTGGTGTCCGTCGTCATGATCCTGCCGGGCATGGAGGACCATCTCAAGAAGGTGTGTGGTCCGAGGGCCAGATCTGGGTCCAAAGCACTGGACTTAGGCTGAGTTTATACTGAGACGCTGCACAGACGTTTCCAGGCTATTAACAGATACGACCAGGCTCCTAATGCAAATTTCACAGTGTTCACATGAGGTTGAAAAACTATGTAGTTCTAGCGCCCGGCCATTAGTGGGCAGAGAAACTTTATAACACGACACACGACCCCCAGCCCCATGCCCAGCCCCCCTCCCGGCAGTATACTCACTTCCTGTGACATACAGAGGGATTTCACACCTTTTCCCCTGTCGCAGGTGTGAAAAGGCTCCCTGCTGTGCAGCGTATCTGAGCTGTCCCACTTTGCAGGCTGGATCTGAACACTTAAGCCTAGTGTATACTTGCGCGGCGTGGCTTACGTTAGCGGTTGCGGTGGACCTACGCAAGCACAATTGATGTTATACTGGCGCGTTCCCCTTACGGAGTTTTGAGGAGAATGCTGTAATCCCACAACAAACCACATGAGGGCGATCTCACAGGAGCGGTCCCATTTACGCTGCTACTTTGTCCTCTTCAGAAAAACAATAGCAAACAAAGCTGTTTGAGCTCATTACACGTGTTTCTACTGCAGGTTTATGTGATAGTGAAGAAGATGACAAAGTCTGGGATTGCGTCTTTAATTCAGACAGAAGACATGTTTTATTGTCAATGGTAGAGACAGCACGAACAACACGAACAACAGAATGCAAGTGTATTATACAGAGCGGAGGCATGGAGACCTCCAATCAGCAGCTTCCACGGTGCCATGTAGCTTGGCCTTCAGATAGACAAAACAAGGGAAAAGTACAGGCTTCTGCACATTGATAGATTGATGAGTTTAACTTTAACAAAAGTTGCTTAAAAGTGTTATGAAATCTCACATTCCCCCCTCTGGTCACACATTCACGTGTGACCATCAGGATCGATAAACAGCAACATAACATCATAACTCAATACTTAAACTCATAAACTCGGTACTTCACTCGGTACCTCAAAAAACTCAGAACTCTGAATACTTCAAAAACTCAGAAAACTCATAAAACATTTTCAGATCTTTCATAAAACTTGTCAACAATCTTCAGTAAAATACCAAACTTTATCAGTCGATGGTGGTTCTCAGATATTGCTTTGAAAACAGTCTCTCCCACTTCTTTGTTTTGATTCTTCAGGCTGCATTTGTGTCGAGCCATGAATTCTTCTGTGACGTGTCTTTCAATCACACGTTTCAGCTTTAGTGTCCAGATTTAGCAATTCAATTCAGTCCAAATTATGTCCAAATTCAGAAATCCAATTGTTCCAAATGATGTCCATGCAAAAGAGGACGATGGTATTGTCCATGTCTCAGCAGCTCACAGCAGGTCTGAGTGGAATCAGGGGCTGTGCAGATTGTCCATGGGCTGGTCCAGATGCATGGTTTCTCTTGAGGTTTCTCAGTTTTGGCTTTAAAAAAAACACATTTTGTGTAAAAAAAAAAAGTAGTCTTCTGTTCTCTAGATCAGGGGTTCTCAAACTTTTTGGACTCAGGGACCCCTTTTAGATGAGCAAAATTTTCAAGGACCCCCTAACGCATTTTTTGAGGAAAGCAAAAAGTAAATAAATTTAAATCAGACGAAAGTGCAATTTTTATTCAAATATTTGAACACCAAGTACATTTGCTTCTTTTCAGCTATGCTAAAGTTTCCACAACAAGAAAATTAAACATTGCATGCCTCTTCAAAACAGACAAACTGGGTCAACTACCCCCAAAAAAGACTGCTGCCAACTGAATATTTTGTCAACAACAACAAAAACAACATCAGTAAAAGGTGCTATGTTGCAACATTGCCTCCACACCTCAAACATTTCTCTGACTCGAACAAGTCCAATATTATCAAAAAACGAATAAAATCAATGAGATGGATGTGCCTGCTTCTGACTACACAGTCTCCTTATTCTTGGAGCAATGGAAGACAGACAAACTCTCAGATCGTCTTCTACATGCAAACGTGCCCTGTATTTATTTTTCATTGCAGTCAAAGTGGAAAAGGAGGACTCGCATAGGTACGTGGTTGGGAAGGGGAGCAATATTTGTAAAGCTTTAGTTGTCAGTTCTGGATAGTCTTGTTTGAGAGACAGCCAAAAGTTAACAGTACTGACCTGTAGGAATCTGGCTCTCAGTGTCCTGTCACATGATACTTCCAGCAGTTGCTCTTCTGCCTCACCTGTGAGGCTATTGGGTGATCCAGGTGCAAAGGGGTCGCGCACCCAGTCCCAGGCATCAGTGTTCATTTCAGAAAAGTAAAAGCGGAAGTGCTGGCACAGTGACGTTAAATGTGAAGTAGCGACAGCCTGTACAACATTCACAGACAGTTTCTCAGCATGAAGAAAGTCACTCAGTTGGGGAAACATGTCCGTTATTCCGTCTTGTATCCTCCGTGCCCAGAGGTCCGTTTTCTTCATGAAGGCTGAGATTTTGTCACTAACCTGAAGTATTGATGTATGCGCTCCTTGGATGGAGAGATTCAGGCCATTCAATGTATTAAAAATATCCGAAAGATATGCCAATTTACATACACTCTCTGGATTAGTGAAAATCTCTGCGAGGTCGGGTTTTTGCTCTCTTAAAAACTCTCCCATTTCTTTGCGCAACTCAAAGACCCGCTGCAAAACTTTACCACGAGAGAGCCAGCGCACCTCCGAGTGATAAAGCAGCAAGTCATGCTCAGCATCCATGTCCCGGCAAAGTTGTCCAAACAAACGGGACTGCAGCGCTCTTGACTTCACAAAGTTTACAGCAGAAACAGCAGTATTTAAAACAGAGTGGAGATCCGGGTCCATGTCTTTTGCTGCCAAGTCTTTTTGGGTCCATGTCTTTTGCATGCGTCGCTATGATGTTTGGGTTGACGGACTTAACGCGCGCAACAAGTCCACTTTTCCGCCCTGTCATAGCGGCTGCACCATCCGTGCAAACAGCCACACACCTGTCCCAGCTCAGACTCGCATCTGTCATGAAAGCGTCTACAAGTCTGAATACCTCCTCGCCCGTTGTTCTCCCAGGTAGCTCTTTGCAAAACAAGAAATCCTCCACAATATCATCTTCCCATGGATATCGCACCAACACAATTAACTGAGCGGCATTAGCTATATCCGTAGATTCGTCCAGCTGAATTGAAAACTGCTCACATGAACGCAGTCTGTCCAGCAGCTGTGCTTCGATGTCTGCAGCCAGCTCCTGTATTCGCCTTCTTACGGTGTCATTTGAAAGTGGAATCACTTTTAGCTTATTTGCAGCCTCTGCGCCAAGTATGACTTCACACATGTCCACTGCGGCTGGGAGTAAAAGTTGTTGTCCAATGGTGTGAGGCTTCTTACATTTAGCAATGCGTTGAGCCACCAGATAAGAGGCCATCTGCGCTTTTTCTGAAACTGAAGTTAACTCCACCATTCGTTTTTTCTGGTGTCCATATTCTTCTGCTTTGCGTTTGAAAAAGTCCTTAGATTTGTTTTTAAACTCCGGGTGCTTTGTGATGAGGTGTCGCTTTAGCTTCGCAGGCTTCATCGCCTCATTAGCAAGCACTTGCAGACACAAAGCGCATTTTGGTCGTCCATCCTTGTTTTCAATAAATCCGAATTGGATGTAGTCCTCACTGTATTTTCTTTGTTTAACTTTAGACAATTTACTTTTTTCCTTTTCCCCATTAGATGAAGTTGACGGTGTTAAAAACGCATCCATGGCTGAGTAGCTAGGCAGAACCTGCGCGCGTCAAAGCTCGTCACTGATAAGTGGACGTGATTTACGTGGATCTATTTTTTATTTATTTATATTTCATATAAAAATAGCAGATTAAACTTAGTGTCGATTTGTGAATATTCACACGGTTATATAAAATCGTGTAAATATTATTAATAATTAATATAAAATAAAATAATATAAAATATAGTTTTCTTATTAATAGCCAACCCTTTTCACGGACCCCCTGATATCGGGCCACGGACCCTGGGGGTCCGAGGACCCCACTTAGAGAACCACTGCTCTAGATGTTACAGACAAGGCCCGCATTCTTCCACCACCTGAAGAAGAGGACATGTCTGGGATCGCGTCTTTAATTCAGACAGAAGACCTGTTTTATTGTCGATTGTAGAGACAGCACAAACGACAGAATGCAAGTGTATTATACAGAGCGGAGGCATGGAGACCTCCAATCAGCAGCTGCCACAGTGCCATGTAGCTTGGCCTTCAGATAGACAAAACAAGGGAAAAGTACAGGCTTCTGCACATTGATAGATTGATGAGTTTAACTTTAACAAAAGTTGCTTAAGTGTTATGAAATCTCACAATAGTTTTATGGATTCATTATTTTATAAGTCATTTCAACTGTGATGCTGTGAATAAAGACACAGTTCTTGTTGGAAACATAGTTATTATTAAATAGTTTTCAGCACAAACAGCAAAACAATAATAGTGGTAAATATCTGAGACAAACATGAACGATTTACGAGTGCAGGAGGAATGCAACAAATGCAGCTACAATTCAAACAAAGACAGGAACAGTGCAAAACAAACAACTGCACGGTTTATAAGTTATATATACAGTGCCTTGCGAAAGTATTCGGCCCCCTTGAACCTTTCAATATTTCGCCACATTTAAGTCTTCAAACATAAAGATATAACATTTTAATTTTTTGTCATGAATCAACAACAAGTGGGACACAATCGTTAAGTGGAACGAAATTTATTGGATAATTTAAAACTTTTAAAAAAAATAAAAAACTGAAAAATCGGGCGTGCAATATTATTCGGCCCCTTTACTTTCAGTGCAGCAAACTCAGTCCAGAAGTTCAGTGAGGATCTTTGAATGATCCAATGTTGTCCTAAATGACTGATGATGATAAATAGAATGCACCTGTGTGTAATCAAGTCTCCGTATAAATGCACCTGCTCTTTGATAGTCTCAGGGTTCTGTTTAAAGCGCAGAGAGAACCATGAAGACAAAGGAACACACCAGGCAGGTCAGAGATACTGTTGTGGAGAAGTTTAAAGCCGGATTTGGATACAAAAAGATTTCCCAAGCTTTAAACATCTCAAGGAGCAAGCAATTATATATAAATGGAAGGAGTATCAGACCACTGCTAATCTACCAAGACCCGGCCGTCCCGCCAAACTTTCATCTCAAACAAGGAGAAGACTGATCAGAGATGCAGCCAAGAGGCCCATGATCGCTCTGGATGAACTGCAGATAACTACAGCTGAGGTGGGAGAGTCTGTCCATAGGACAACAATCAGTGTGCACTGCACAAATCTGGCCTTTATGGAAGAGTGGCCATTTCTCAAAGATATCCAATAAAAGTCTCTTAAAGTTTGCCACAAGCCACCTGGGAGACACACCAAACATGTGGAAGAAGGTGCTCTGGTCAGATGAAACCAAAATCAACCTTTTTGGCCACAATGCAAAACGATATGTTTGGCGTAAAAGCAACACAGCTCATCACCCTGAACACACCATCCCCACCTCAGCTGTAGTTATCTGCAGTTCATCCAGAGTGATCATGGGCCTCTTGGTTGCATCTCTGATCAGTCTTCTCCTTGTTTGAGATGAAAGTTTGGAGGGACGGCCGGGTCTTGGTAGATTAGCAGTGGTCTGATACTCCTTCCATTTCAATATAATTGCTTGCACAGTGCTCCTTGAGATGTTTAAAGCTTGGGAAATCTTTTTGTATCCAAATCCGGCTTTAAACTTCTCCACAACAGTATCTCGGACCTGCCTGGTGTGTTCCTTTGTCTTCATGGTTCTCTCTGCGCTTTAAACAGAACCCAGAGACTATCAAAGAGCAGGTGCATTTATACGGAGACTTGATTACACACAGGTGCATTCTATTTATCATCATCAGTCATTTAGGACATTGGATAATTCAAAGATCCTCACTGAACTTCTGGACTGAGTTTGCTGCACTGAAAGTAAAGGGGCCGAATAATATCCCACGCCCCACTTTTCAGTTTTTTATTTGTTAAAAAAGTTTAAATTATCCAACAAATTTCATTCCACTTCACGATTGTGTCCCACTTGTTTTTGATTCATGACAAAAAATTAAAATTTTATATCTTTATGTTTGAAGCCTGAAATGTGGCGAAATGTTGAAAGGTTCAAGGGGGGCGAATACTTTCGCAAGGCACTGTATGTTAGATTGTCCACAGTCTCCTGTATATCAGGCTCTGAGCCCAAACTGCTTTTCCTTCGAAGCACAAAGCTCTCTGCTCCATGGTGCCTCGTCCATTGTCCCTGCTGCAGCCGCTTCATGCTTCCTTCCAATACACACACACGGACCAATCACAGCGGAGATTCCTTGCGGTGACCCTTACGTCGATGCTGCAGGGCAGGCAACGTTTGGGCCTTGCGGTGACCAACGCGTTGCGCAAGTGACGTCATGTCACCTCCGTAAGCTCTGCGCCGCTCAAGTATACACTAGGCTTTACGTTTTCACCCTCCTGGAACACAGTCTTCGTATGAACGGTTGATAGCAACCGACATCCAACTATACCGTTTTACTGCCACATTGTCTCCGTGTAAACTCAGCCTTAATCTCATCCGCTGGACTCTCCCCAACTTCCCTCATTGCCTTTTCTTTACTCTCATGCCTTTTGCAATTTAGACCAAGAAATAGTGGGTTTTCAGTTCTGTATCCCAGCAAAAGAAGACATGAAAGAATTAGCTTCAGTTTCAGACAGGGACAAATTACAGCTGTACACACTCAGTTCTCATGCTTTGGATTTCTTACTAGAAACGTGTTCTTTGAAAAATGATAAAAGGACACCAACACTTTTTGTCTTATTTATTGTCATTCAATGGGAATATTGTAATAGGCTGGCAAGTCTCAGTATAATGTTTTAAGCAGGTGAGACGGAAACAATATGAGTTGTTGGCTATTTAAAAAAATCTGTGGTCAGACCAGATTGGGGACAAAGATGAATAGGGTGAACCCAGTCTACGGCTATCAGGTTAATGGTATATAGGAGGATTTTCCCAAATTTTAGGAACGAACCGCCCTCTCCACTTTTTGAGCAAAATTCTCTGGTCTTATTTGACGAGTGTGTCTCACCAGAATCATTGACAATTGGGAGGACCAATAGTCTTTATGATCCATCCAGAAGTACTGTAGATAATCCTCCTATGTACCATTTTAACTTTAGTGTCAGGAATGAACCAGACAGAGACGGATTGTGGTGAGCCAAACTCTGGAAGTTTATTTAAGTTTCTCTCAAGTTCCAGTGGTTTCAATTGTTTCTTTCTCTCAGACAGAATAAAGGCAGTACACAGTTTATATAGTAATTGTCACATCACACATCGAAAGACATACGTGTCTCACAGAGACAGTGCACATCATAGTCAAAACATGGAGTCATCATCAGAGTCCTTGTACATTCCTGCACGTAGGCCATATTGCTATGTAATCCTAACATTAGTAAACCTAGAACTACGTTTCCAGCAACTCCAGTGAAACTCGGAAAATTAGAATATATTTCAGAAGTCCATTATACTTCTGTAATTTAACTTGGCTACAATATGAAACCGTTTGAACATCATACTGTATTACTGACACCACTCTCTTTGTCATTGAAGTGTTTTGGAAAAATGTTAGTGTCCACAATTTCAATTTCTATTATATTTTGTGTAGCTCTAAATCACAACAGTAGTAATATCGGAGGACTTTACAAACTTGTCAATTCACCAACACAGATCAGAGAATCAAACAATTCAACAAAGGAAATGTCATAATAACCAATACATTTTAGCCATCGGTCCATAGGGGGCAGATGACCAATGTCCTTAAATTTCCATCTATGTTCTGGATCATTATCACTGTTACGACATTACAGAGATCCTTTATTTGTCCCACAGTGGGGAAATTGCAGTGTTGCATCACAAGTTACAGAACAGTAGGAGTGTGGAGCACACAACACAAGATAAGTGAATATTAAGAATAGTACAACTATTACTTAAAAGATAAAGCTTAATGGAGAAACAAAGTATGAAGAAATTAATAAATATGACCAAGATTAATATGATCAATGTGGCACGTGTTCAAAGCATGTTGTAGTTTCTGTCCTGATGCCTTTCCCCTCGCTCTCAGATCCCAGGCTTCTGTGTGGGCAGCAGCGGCATCCCCTTTATCGAGGGAAAGGTGAACTGTGACGTCATCGTGGGCTACAAGTCGGTGTACCGCATGTGCTTCGCCATGGCCTGCTTCTTCTTCCTCTTCTCCCTCATCATGATCCGTGTGCGCAGCAGCAAGGATCCCCGCGCTGCCATCCAGAACGGGTAGGTTTTTGTGTGAGGCTGCGTCGCACTCTGGTGGAGGAACTGAGGAACTGCGCTTCACTGCTTCCATTAAAAGGAGTGGCATTGTGCTTGAGCGTCTTGTTTGAGCTTCTAACCATCTCTCTACATTGTTCCCTCATCAAAAAACAGACCTGGAGTTGGTTTTAGATCCATCCACGCCAATATCAGGATCTTTTGGCACAAACAAGTGGCCCCCTGCCTTTTGTTCCAATGCTCCTGCCTCAATCTTGGTACTTGAGGATGAATTCTTACAATCGCACGTCATGTTCAGAACCGTTATCTGTGGCTCAAAGTTAGTTTTTTCATTTCTACTGAAATGACAACCACATGGCTGTAATATACTGTATGATGTCATGTTTTGATGTACTTCCAAGCATGTCGTTTTTCACTTCTACCACCAGACAGAGCTGTTTCACCAAGTTAGATCTGTATTATTACCATTATAGATGTTCCAGCCCTAGGCCTGTAAATTGCTTCCCTGTTTTTACTTATAATTTTTTCACATCCTAAAGCACAAAATTCCAAAGAAAATATTATCAACATGCCTAAAGGACAAAAAATAATGCATAACTCGTCTTCATTCATTAAAATACATTTTCCATATTTACAGGTTTTTTTTTGTATATATAAAAATGTATATATATTTATAGAATTCTAACTTGGTTGAAACAAATTCTACATTTTGAAACGTTTGATCGGTGCAGTCCATTCAGTGTTTCCCACACATAGACTAATCTGTGGCGCACCGCCACAGATTAGAGACCGCCCGCCACAAATTGCGTTTCGTATCATTATATATTTTTTGTTACGCTATTTAAAACATGCATCGTCTAGTGCCGCCACAGCGGTCAATTTGACAGCGGGGAGGGGGGTTTAAAATGTGGCGGCCCTTCGTAACTCTCACTCAAGCTACGCGTCTCTCCCACATACAGAGACCTACACACACACACAGCCCCTCCCCTTCGTGCACACCGCGTGTCTCCGTCTCCATCAGCTTTTTTTGCAACAAGTAGGTTTATACAGCGTTAACAGTATTTATAGTGTAATATACAGCGTGTGAATAATGTTGATATTTTGATCAGTCCAATAAAGCTGTATTTGACATAATTAACGATGTCATTGTTAATTTTTGCCGGCCGACCTGCACCCCCCCCCCCCCGCCGACGACCACCACACATTGCCTTCAAACCTGTGGGAAACACTGCCATTGTTTAACTGCATTACAGTGTGCACTGATAATGGATATATCCATCCATCCATCTTCTTCCCTTTAATCCATTTCTGGGTCAGGGGGGTGGCAGTCAGAGATGCCACCCAAGTCTCATAGCACCAGCCCCTCACTGACCCTCTGCAGGTGGTGAGTCCACAGGGGATAATGGATATATTTAACCCATTAATTCATTGAAATTGATGTTTTGCTATTATTTTGTATTTTGTAAAATATGGCAGTAGTAAAAATTACATACGACTTTTCAGTTTTTGGTTCTTCAAGTTCCTGATACTGGTTGGAATAACAGTGGGAGCCTTCTTCATCCCCGATGGCATCTTCACCACAGGTACACATTCCTACTTAAAATAAACAAACACAAATATACATATCTTGTATAGTCGGTCTATAATTGATCTCTAATGGCGCTGTGAAACGTGGATTCCAGTGTGGTACTACTTTGGAGTGGTGGGCTCCTTCATCTTCATCATCATCCAGCTCATCCTGCTGGTGGACTTCGCTCACTCCTGGAACCAGTCCTGGCTGGAGAAGGCCGAAGAGGGAAACACCAAGGGCTGGTTTGCAGGTCAGTCAATCCAATTCAATTCACAAAACCGTTGAATTCGCCATCATAGATCAGAGAATAAAACGGTTCAAACACAAGAAATGCAATGATAAAAGAGACAACGCCTTTTCTTTTTGTGAATGTACTGTCAATTGGTATGATTTATTTGATTTTTACAAGGACAGTGTACAATAAGCGTTAATCAAAAATTGTTCCTCATCAAAAACAGATTTTTTTGTAGCTCCATACATGCTAATGAACAAATATGTCCCCATCTAAATGCTGCTATCTCAAGTTTTGACAACTTTTCCAGTCAATTACATGAAGCGACATTTGGTTTAACATATCCAAGAGTAACGCAACTTTTTTCATAAATTCGTTTGCTTTTCCGGACCTAAGAGTCTTGTTTAAACATCATTACTGGGCTATTTATTTTGGGGCGACAGTAGCTCAGTTGGTAGAGCATTGGCCTTCAATTCCCACCTCTACACCTTCTCCACCGACTCCCACTGATGACTGCTGTCGTTGTGTCCTTGGGCAAGACACTTGACCTCACTTTGCCCAAAGCCCCCACTGAAAGATCAAGGCTATGCTCACACTCAGAGAGCAGCCGTCCTCCCACCTGCAGAGGGTCAGTGAGGGGCTGGTGCTATGAGACTTGGGTGGCATCTCTGACTGCCACCCCCCTGACCCAGAAATGGATTAAAGGGTAGAAAATGGATGGATGGATGGATGGATACTGTGCTATTTAGCCTCCATAGACTTGCCCAGAGTAGTTTTTCTTGATTCCATCAAGCTTTAGTTGGAGAGCGATCGTTCTCTTTCATTCTCGAGAGGCAGCGAAACTCCCGGGTCACATCTATGACAATTTCAACATCGATTGACCGGCATTGACGTGCTAACCCGTCAATTGCGTGTCCCGCTATTTTTACATCCTCAGATGTCTATTGTATCTAATATGTATGGGGATGGCTTGAGACCATATTTTATCTAGCCAGCAGGTGGCAGCATTTCTCTCTGAATGGTTTGAAAACAGCCAGATGCACATTTTGTGCCTCTTTTTTTCTCAGCTTTCTGGTGATTTCAGTAAAACTTCCCTCTACTCAACTGGGGATTACAGGGGAACAAAACAAGCTAGAAACAAAATTATTTTTTCTGATGAAAGTAGACAGTCCATGTGAATTTCAGATAGTCATAGTACACAATATTCTGTGGGTCTTGAAAAATCAGTAAAAATCATCAGAAACGGCTGGCAATATGGGAGTACCTGTTCTGAAATAGGCTGGCAGTCAATGAGTTAATCATCAGACTCCTCTCTAGCTCAGCTGGTTTAAGTTGAGGTGGCATCACCCCTATGCAAGAGCTGGCTATAATCTTACAAGTTTTTACTGCTGTGTGGTGTATCACGCAAATTATTATCACACATGTGCATAGAATGGACTGTGGAACATTAAGAAGACCACAATATGGAACCTTTTTAAGAAACATTTTGTCAACAAATCAGACCACAACAGGAAACAGTTTATCTTAGAGAGCTGGTCCTATGGTGACAGAGGCCAAATGCACGCGAGAACTAGTGATATTCTCCAGCTTTAAATGCAACAGAAAATGGCAGAATATAATTTTCCGCTTCTACCACTGCACTATAATGGTGCACATTCTTGTATTTTCTACTCATTATTTCACCATCTAAAGCACGGGTGTCAAACTTATTTTAGTCTGGGGCAGAATGAAAGACTAGAAACTGGTCGGGGGCCGGTGTTTATTGTTTAAATTAATTAAAACTGGATCAAATATAAAGTTAAACACATTGTTTTATATCTAACTATTTAACTTCTAATGATGTGTTGTGAAAATAGATGTATTGCATTGCTTGGTATAATCATGCTGCTAAGGTATCAGAATCAGAATCATTTTTATTGCCACGTAAGTAACAGGAAGTCACAGACTTGGAAATTGCTTTGGCTCAGTGCAACAGTCAGAAAGAGATAATAAAAATAAAGAATAGAAAACACTTCTACGGAATACATTTAAATTTAAAATGGAGTTAAAGTTACTATTTACAATATACAAGTGCACATTGTGCACACAATGTAAGGTGACGTATGATGGGCAGTAAAGTGACTTTATAAAGGGCGGGGGGACAGGTTAAGAAGTGTTCAAGAGTCCAACAGCAGAGGGGAAGAAACTGTTCTTGTGGCGGGAGGTTCTAGTCCTGATGGACCGCAGTCTCCTGCCTGAGGGGAGTGGTTGGAATAGTCTATGTGCAGGGTGAGAGGGGTCGGCTGTGATACGACCAGCCCGGCCTCGAGCTCGGGCGACGTACAGGTCCTGCAGCGATGGAAGGCTGCGGCCGATCACTTCCTCTGCAGAGCGCACAATGCGCTGTAGTCTCTGTTTGTCCCTGACTGTGGCTCCAGCGAACCACACGGTGAGGTGAGGATGGACTTGATGATGGCCGTGTAGAACTGCACCAACATCTGTGCAGGCAGCTTGGCTTTCCTGAGCTGCCGCAGGAAGTACATCCTCTGCTGGGCCTTCTTGATGAGGGAGCTGATGGTCGGCTCCCACTTGAGGTCCTGGGTGATGGTGGTGCCCAGGAAACGGAAGGACTCCACAGAGGTGATGGGGGAGTCCATCACGGAGGGTGGGGGCGGGGGGACAGTGCTCTTCCTTAAGTCCACAATCATCTCCACTGTCTTCTGGGCGTTCAGCTCCAGGTTGTTACCACTGCACCAGGACACCAGCCGGTCCACCTCCCTCCTGTAGGTGGACTCATTGTTGTTGGAGATGAGTCCAATGAGGGTGGTGTCGTCCGCGAACTTGATCAGCTTCACGGAGTCGTGGCTGGAGGTGCAGTGGTTGGTGTACAGGGAGAAAGAACACAGCCCTGTGGGGCTCCTGTATTTATAATCCGAGAGTCCGAGACATTCTTCCCCAGACGCACTCGCTGCTTCCTGTCCGTCAGGAAGTCAGTGATCCACCTGCAGGTGGAATCGGGCACGTTGAGCTGGGAGAGCTTGTCCTGGAGCAGGGATGGCAGGATCGTGTTGAAGGCAGAGCTGAAGTCCACAAACAGGACCCTGGCGTAGGTCCCCGGGGAGTCCAGGTGCTGTAGGATGTGGTGGAGGGCCAGGTTAATGGCGTCGTCTACAGATTTGTTGGCTCTGTAGGCAAACTGCAGGGGGTCCAGGAGGGTGGAGGTGAAGGACTTGAGATGGGAGAGGACCAGGCGTTCAAATGACTTCATGACGACAGACGTAAGTGCTACAGGTCTGTAGTCGTTGAGTTCTGTGATCCTGGGCTTCTTCGGGACGGGGAAAATGATGGAAGATTTGAAGCAGGCCGGGACATGGCAGGACTGCAGAGAGGAGTTGAAAATGTCAGTGAACACAGGAGTAAGCTCACTAGCGCAGTGTCTCAAAGTGGCTGGAGACACGTTCTCCACTCAATAATAATTGAAAATAAATTTAGGGGCCACTAAAATTGGCCTGAGTTTGGCATGTCTGATCTAAAGCAACAAATATTCTCATGATTTAAAGGACACAATGAACAAAAACAATGCCTATTTTTTTGTTCTTGCGCAGGTAAAACCAAAATGTACTTTATTACCTCAGATTTCAGTAATTTCTCTATCAGCAGTTTAGTTACTGTTATAAACAAATATTGACAGGTAATTTAAAAACAAGTCCATTTAAAGAACATACCTGCGGTTTTACCTTCATTCATGCTGATTAAAGCCTCCAATGAAAAATTATGATACCTCACTTTTCACACCATAAATAATCCATGTTGTTTGTCACCACAGAAAGTCTTCTGTCAAGCTTTTTTCAACTTGAGAAAAATTCTTATATTTTTGCATATGTAAAATAAAGAGCCCTGCGAGTCACTATTTGACGCTTTTGGCTGAGAGCTGATTGGCTGAGTGAGGATAGTCACATCTTTTTCACTTGTATATCTGAAAATCTATTTATATTGCACATTTTATAAAGTCTCCTGCACAGAGATAAACTATACAGGTTTGCCAGCTTATGTACAAAAAAATGCTCATAGCACCAGTCCCACCACCACACAACTCACACAGTGTTAAAAGCCTGATAGTAAAAATGTTTTTTTTTGACAAAGAGGTGACAGAAGTTCTGAAGAACATGTTTAAGATTAAAAAATGAACACAGATAGTTTTGTTTTTTCTGCAGCTCTCCTGACCGTCACCTTTGTGAACTACGCCCTGGCCTTTTCCGCCATGGTCCTCTTCTATGTCTACTACACCCAACCGAATGACTGCACCGAGCACAAGGTCTTCATCAGCCTCAACTTCCTCTTCTGCGTTGTGGTCTCCGTCGTCTCCATCCTGCCCAAAGTCCAGGTGAGTCTTTAACATACGACAAGCCAATAAATCACATCCATCACATTGTATTGTTGTTTTAATAAATGTATGTGATGTCGTACTAGAGACATATATAATTATAGAAATAGTCTAGAGTCAAATCTATTATTATTGGGGCTTTTAGTTTTTCTTCTGTTGTGTGTCTTTATTGGTTTTTGTGTTTTTTGTGTTTTTACTATTGTTTTATTCTCTATTACTGTTATACTACTGTATTACTATTATTATCTATGATTTGCTTTTTTACTTTTTTAATACAATTAAACGATAGTGGGGGAAACGGGATCATAAAAGAAAAGGTGTCTTACTTTATTGTATATGTAATGTATTGTGACACAATAACGTAAAGGGCTTCCGACCATTGTTGTTGTACCGTCAATTTGAGTTACCAAATCCGTGTGGTAGATTTGCACAATATGTATGTACTGTCAAAGATGGCTGTATGTAGTTCCCACCGCTATGTACTAATAAAATCTTTTTTCTTGCAGGAAGCGCAGCCCAGCTCAGGTCTGCTGCAGGCCTCCCTCATCTCCCTCTACACCATGTACCTGACCTGGTCGGCCATGAGCAACAACCCCAGTGAGTGTCTGCTGTTTATTAATAATAAATAATGATGCATCAGTTTTATACAGCGCTTTTTTAGACACTTCACAGCATTATTCATTCACTCTGTGCACGGTGGTGATAAACTACTATTGTAGCCACAGCTGCCCTGGGGGAGTCTTGGCAGATGAGTCAACATGTGCTTTTCAGTAGGTGCTTTTTGGCCCCTCTCCGCCCCTCGAGCACCAGCAACCATGTGTTTTTGTGTTTGTTGACGAAATATATATAGATCATTATATTAATAGATAATTTGCAAAAAAGAGAGGTGGCATTTCATAATCGAATTGCGGGAGAAAGTATCGCGATATATGGATAAATTGTCACACACCTGGTTATATGACAAAAAAATGACTTTCCACACTGTTCTCTTCCATTTCCTTACCTCCAGATAAGACGTGCAACCCCAGTCTGTTGAGCCTGGTTCAGCCCAGCACTACTCCTCCACCGGGACCTGCTCCCACACAGGCCCCTGGTCCGGTCCAGTGGTGGGACGCACAAAGCATCGTGGGATTGGTCCTCTTCATTCTTTGCACTCTTTATGCAAGGTACTTCATGAATATTAACTGCGTCTTGCATAATTTTCTTTTGTGACCTTATAAACCACGTTGCCACAATGTTCCCTCATTAAAAATAGACCTGGAGTGATTTTCAGCTCCATCCACTCATGTACGAGGAGCTTCCACCACAAATGTATAACAAAAGAATTGGCTTCTATTGCAAATGTGTCATGGATGTATCTTTTCTATTCATCCGATCAAACAATCTCCATGCACTGAGATTTAAAGTAGTCCTTCATTTAGGCACATGCACTTTATTACTTCCTCTTAGTCTATAATTATGGTGAGCATCTCTATCATGGAAAAGGTTCTGTCACTTGGATCGCAGAGAGTTTTCCGACATGTATCCATAGGGGTCAGATTTGGCAGTGGCAAGATTTTTGATCCTTCATCTCTCTATTTCTGGTCACGAAAACACATTTATTTGTATTAGTAAAAATGGTTTTACGCTTCTCTCCACCACTCCATATTTGATTTGATTTATTCAAGCTTACATACTTACAATGTCATTTAAACATGTGCATGCATTGTTATATGCATTTACATTAAACAGAAATACATGTTCGTAATAATAAATAACATATGTCAAAAATGTATACAAAGCTCGAAAAGGGAGTGAGAAGAAGTAAACATATGTACTCCCACCCCCTCTGATCACAAACATAAGCAGTTGCGATATTTTATATAAACATACATTTACGCAACACTGTTAATCGATTACAAGAATGTGGCAACTGAATTCAGAACTACAAAATTATAGCACGAAGTGCATTCAATTTGATGAGAAAAATAAGTAAAGCATTAATTAATTCAAAATTTCATAATCAATAGACAGATACTTATAAGGGTCAATTTATACAATTGCCCTGTTCTTCCATTCTATATTTTGAAAACACAAATTCTCTGTAATTTGTTTTGAATTGATTCACTGTTGCGCATTGCTGGAGCTGTTGTCCCAGCCCATTCCAAACTTGAACAAACATTATTCTCCTAGTGGTCCTAGAAACCTTTACTTTGAGTGTTCCAAATCCCCTCAGACTGTAACCTCCATACAGTCTTTGGATATTTGCCGGCAACATATATTTACTTGCTTTGTACAGGAGTTGTGCTGTATGAAATTCAACTAAGTCAAAAAGCTTTAACAATTTAGACTTTAAAAAAAGTACATTTGTGTGATCCAAATACCTTACCATGTGAATATTTCTTATGGCACGCTTTTGAAGAATTACTAAGGGATGTAGAGAACTTTTATAATTATAATAATAATAATAATAATAATATTGAGAGACCGTCCTATACCCTATAAACTTCAGAAATATGAATTCCCATTTACTGTGGTCCCTCACTATAACACTGTTTTGCAGATTTTTGTGAGTGCGAGTTTAATTTTTAATGTTATTCTTGTATAGCCCTAAATCACAACAGTAGTTATCTCGGAGGACTTTACACAACCGTTGAATTAGTCCCTTTAATATACTGGTCCTCCTTCACTCCGTAGCATCCGCTCGTCCAACAACTCCCAGGTGAACCGGCTAATGCGGACAGAGGAAGGCACGGGGCTGACCGCAGACGTGGAGGCCACCGCGGGGGAAGACGGCGTGCTCCGGGCCGTGGACAACGAGGAGGACGGGGTCAGCTACAGCTACTCCTTCTTCCACTGCTCTCTGTTCCTCGCCTCACTCTACATCATGATGACCCTCACCAACTGGTACAAGTGAGTGTCTCCAAACTATTAAACTATTCTTCTGCCTATGTTGTCATGAGAAAAAAGAAAAAGAAAAGATATATTGCACATATGTAGATATATTTTATAACAGATACTCAAATTAAAATTGCCTTTTGTCTATCTATTCCGCTATTCAATAGATTTAGGGAGATCTGCGCTCTATAGTCTATTAGCCCTAAATTCAGAACAACCTCTGGTGGTGGAAAAGTGAATTACAGTTATAAGGAGCTGTATCTACTCAATTAGTAATCAAATAATTAATACATACACAGATGTAAATGTGCTTTTTTTATTTATTAAAATCAATGTTCCTCATAGTCTCTTTATGAAGATGTTCTAAAGTGGCATAATCTTTTGCCTCGTTTCTAAATTTCTCAGGGCTCTGCTCTGGCTTCCTGTGGCTCAGAGAATAGACTTGAAATCAGCTCTCATTGTTACAAGTCTCTCCATGGCCACGTGCCAAGACATTTTAGAGCCATATGAACCGACTCGGACTCTGAGGAGCGCAGGGACTGGCCTCTGCTGGTGCCCAGACTCAGGACTAAACATGGGGAGGCAGCGTTTCAGATTCATACATTAATATATAGAACAGTCTTCCTGAGAAAGTGAGATGGGCTTCTACTCAGACAATGTTCAAATCCTTCTCAAGCTCAAGTCTGATCATCTGAGTGTTTTTATTTGTTTCTTTTTTCAGACCCGACATGGACTACGAAGCCATGCAGACCAGCATGCCGGCCGTGTGGGTGAAGATCTGCTCCAGTTGGCTGGGACTGGCCCTCTTCCTCTGGACCCTGGTGGCTCCGCTGGTGCTGCCCGACAGAGATTTTGGGCAAATCTGACACTCGAGCCTTCTGTAGTCTGCACCAAAGATAATATCTTATCACTTTTTTTATTGGTAAAGAACTAGAAATGTGCTTTAAAGTTTGTTACATGTTCTTATTTTACCTCTGCAAGCAATTCTATGTTCAGATTACTCTCTGTGGAAAAGAAGCGTGACTGATTTGACCAACGTTCACATTCGAGATATCATGTCGGCTTCTCATTATGTAAATGAGTGCACTTTTTCTATCTCCAATGATCAATGCGATGACCAATCTTAGATCACTACTAACCATTCTTAGTTCAGGACTTGTCTATAGCTCCTTTTTAATACTTTCACAATACTTGTTACTTGCAGCTTTTATAAAGACAACGTCATTTTTGCTTTTATTGTATGTATACTTTGCACAAGAGGGACCACTTTGAGCTCTCTTCTTTCACTATAAACAAATAAAAACTAAGGACATATTGGCGCCTGTCCTCTTTTATAACCACTAGATGGGGCTGTTGCATATTGTGTCGCTGGTGTCCTACACAACATGGATTATAATTGCACTTCCTACATATGCAACACATTTGGCGCATGCATTTATACTGCGCCTAATCAAGTCAGCCCAGTGGGGATTACCAAGCCACCGCTTATGTCTCTCGGCTGGTCACATTCCTCTGCTCAACTATGATTTATGCTGCTGCCTTTTCCCAGGGCCAGGATTCCCCCGTGAAATACACCCACAATGTGAAGTAATATAAAGGCCATCTCTTTGTTACAACATATGAATCCAAAAGTGGCACTCAAGTTAGATTAAAGTTCAAAGTTGACCTGTTTGTAGTAGTGGTATAAAGCTATCTAGACATTCAATGTATTTTGTATTGCCCTAATACACAGCAGCAATCAAACGGTTTGAACACAAGCGATACAATAATAACAAAGCCATAGGAGCCATTGGTCCATAGAGAGATGGGGATGATCAATGCGCATAAATGTCCTAAAATGTCCTGGATCATCACTGTCCCAAGACCCTCCTGCAGTACAAAACGTTAGATATTTGACTAAATGTAGTACGGCCAACTGTAATGATAATAGCAAAACTAGTCATCACTGATGTCACAGCATTTATTGGATATCTTATATGTAAAGTTGGAGTCATTGGTGTGAAATTTAGTCCCAAAAATATGGTTCTATTTGTTTTTTTCTATCTTGAAGTTGTGGCGGAGTGACCAATGATACTGAAAAACTGAAAACTAATGATAAAGCCAAACTGTATTGAGAGCAAGGAAATAGGTTCATTACATAGTTAATGTTATGTGGTTTCAAAGTTAGGGACTCGGCCATTAGTCCCTACCTGACCCCAATCTGGTCCCTGTCCACAGATCCACAGACCTGTGTTGCTCTGTGGCGCCTGACCCACATAAGCGGGTCTTCCGTGGGTAGTCCCAGCTGTGAGCAGCGTGCACGGCTAATACTCTTATATAATTCCAAATGAGGCTGTGATCAAGTTGCGTAAGCCTGTTAAAGGATCATGAAGTCATTGGAAGCTCCGTGTTGTTGTGTTTGGGAAATACACTGAATGACATCACTGCGTTGGGGACTGGCATGTACAGTAAATGGATACCGAGAGGGGAGGGTGGGTCCTTTGAGAGTTGCCGTACTTGGTAACCTCTTCCCCATGGTACATGTACTCATGGATCTAGCATGTACTACACAGAAAGAATATATACAGTGCAATTTAAAGTAGTCCACTAAAATAAAATTAAAAATCCCTGGTCAACTCGCAAAAAATCAAGAAAACAAGTTTCAATCCATTTGCAGTTAGTAAAATAGCGTATGTTTCTTTGCTAAACTTTAAAATCAGTAAAATCTGTAAACTATAGTTACTTGGATGTAAACCAGTAAACAAGAGGATAAACCTGTATCTTAGTTCCTGAAAGACCGAATTGTGGCCGTGATCAGGTGACTGTAGGTAGGAAGACCTGATCTAGCCCCGGAGCCTTAAGTTGAATAGGTCTGAGCGCCAATGATCTGTAATTGGATGCATTAAGTGAATACTAAAGGACTTATTTGGCTAAAAAGTTCATGGAAACGAGAGTTTGTTTGTAGCTGTTATGAATTAACATCAGTCTAGTACGCCAATCCACATGCCATAATTTATTGCTCGTTTGCTACTTTATTGTTAGTGTTTGGCATGAATTCAATGGCAAGTATACAGTTTTCCAGCAGAACCTCGAAGCTGGGACAAATGTTTCCCTCTTTAGACCAAATTTGGAAACTTAAAATCATCAAAATACGGCCGCTCCATAACATTCAATCTCGCTCTTGTAAATCAGTCCCTAATAAATCGCGTGACTCCTTGCACAACTATAACAAAATTAAAATGGCAATCTTACAGCTATACAAGTTCAATAAAGCACTTGCTTTTCATGTTTTTAGATTTGGTAAATTTGAGTTATCATATTAACAGTGGTTATAAATATCAGCTAATTTTGGCCCTTATTTACTTTGCTCACTTACATTTTATTTTGAGAGATGAATATTTATAGCGTGAATATTTATAAACATCACATCTGAATGTTTTTTTTGGGGGGAAGTGGAGGAAGTGGAGTGGAACTAACCAGAATCTTGGCATTTCATCCTGGGAAGATGAACAAATCTATTACTATTTATTTATTTGTGACTCATAATCACGTATTCAATCCAGTTTATTTGTTTTTTTATTTTGTTACTATATTTTTATTAAGTTTATTTTATTTTATCATCCCTACATTCACTCAGACATGGAAGAATAAAAACAAACACAAACAAACAAAAAAACCAAAAAAACGAAAAACAAAGCAGACTATGAGAATAATATATATATATAAAAATGTGGTTTCAATAGCTGTTTATTTTTAGTAAGGTAGGAGTTAGCCAACCTAGCTAGCTGCGGCGCGAAATGCCAAGGCTTTCAACAATCCTCGCGCTTTTATTCTGAAGTCGGCCATCTTGTTCCGGTGTCGCCCGTTCCCAGCGTGAGAAGCTTGACGGCCGTGGAGCAGTGACCGCACCGCAGAGTAGTGAAGTTGAGCATCCTGCAGGTAACGTGACAATTTAATAACAATCTTTCTTTACCTCTGAATATTCCAGTCTTATTCCGACCTTCTCCCCTAGCTACACATCTCTAGCTAGCCTTTGTTTACCTACACGTGTGATTCCGCCTGTCCCTCCCTGTTGTAATCGCTGATGCTTGTGAGGAGATGCTGCTGCCACTGATTATTGCCGATCTTTTTTTTATTATTATTATTATTGTGATTATTTATGTTATAACGTGGTGATGATTCGATGTTGTCGGTGGAGATTGCTTTAAATCTACGTATGGGGTGAGCGTGTCATGCACATGGACCGGATCGTAGCGTTGATCGTATCCAGAAGTGCTTTCATTCATTGTCTGGAAGAGCAGAGGAGGAGGAGGAGGAGGAGGAGGATGCAGCAAGTGCGCCACGTTTGGGTGAGCTCTGGAGGCAGGAAGCCAGGCGAGCGCTGGGACAACTTATATTTTATACATATATAAAAATTGGCATGACAGGATTATTTGTACAGCACAGTTCGTTCACAAGGCAACTCAAAGTGCAGATTAAAACAAGAAAAGAAACCTCTGAAATCACACAGTGCATTCAAATCCTATATTCAGTTGTATGCACAGCTCAACAGAACTGTTTCTTACCTGGATCTCATCATTGTCGGAGTAGAAGCCTGTCTCACATTTTCAGGAAGACTGTTCCAGATTTTAGTTCCATTGCTCTGAAACGTTGCCACCCCATGTTTAGTCCTGACTCTGGGCACCAGCAGGAGGCTCAACATAAGCATAAAAACAAGGAGTGCAACTGTACTTGTATATGAAATACTTTTGTTATTAGTTTTTTTATTGTGGTCTGAGCATGATGTGCCCAGCATTGGGCAGCTAAACATCACAAATCAGATATTAATCCATACTAATAATTAGTTTAGTTTAGATATAATTTTCCTAGGTACTAGTGACACTGAACAGAAATGTATTCATTAAAGCAGAGTTCAAATTATAATTTTTTATCATATGTTTTTTATGGCATGTTGAAATTGCAGATGCCTCCCAAGTTCTCACTTAAAAACTCACTTGGATAGATTGACTTGCCTTTTCCTTTAGCCGATTAAACATCCAAAATGCACTAAAATGAAGAGAAATGCGACCTTATTTAGACCTTTATAAGCCTGTTTATAACATTTGCAGTGACACTCGTATTATACCCATATTTTAGAGCTCTAAACACATATAGATATATATAATATACAACATGATCATTTACCGTTTGAAAAGGAAATGATGTATTCTAAATAATTGCAGTCTGGGCGATTTGCGAAGCCTTCCCCTCATTACAACATAATCTTTACAATCTTCCTGTTTGCTGTTCACCCTTTAGATATAAGCTCTCAGCAAAGCATCTTACATGTGTCTCAATAATTACCCCAATGTAAGAATTTGACAAAAAAAGGGGGTGTTATAACAGGGAAGAACAGCGCAAAGGATACCCCCCTGTGGACAGGCCATGGGAACCCCCTGGTATTTAAACCAATCGAGCGTTTCTATTTAACTTGACTTGATATTTTTCTGAACTAAATGACATGCTTGGAGTCTAGACTGAACCAAAACTGGACCAAAAAAAGGAAAGGCTTGTTATTGCAGACTAATGGAACAATTATTAATATCAAATTTGTTTTTTTGAGTCCCATGTTTAGATAATGTTAACTGTCTGATATGGTTGGATTCTTGAGAAAAAATAGTTTTAAACTCTTGTGTAGATTTAGATTACGAGCACCTTTGTTTTGTCCCGCAGTGGGGGAAATTCAAAAGCAAATTATACTGAATACTCTAGCAGTAATAATAAGCCATAGTGCAGGGGTGTCCAAACCTTTTAGTGAGAGACTTTAGTTAATCAGACTAAAGTCCAACCTGGATTTTAGCAATGTTTTGACTGGCTTCAGGCTGTGAAAAAAGATTCGACATTATGA